TCTCTCTCTCTCTCTCTCTCTCTCTCTCTCTCTCTCTGTGTGTGTGTGTGTGTGTGTGTGTGTGTGTGTGTGTGTGGTACCGTGTCTGTGCGTGTTACCGCCAGCCATCCTCGTTTTTCTCTCCCTTGCCGCATAATCACACCGGGAGCTTTTCGACTGAATCTGGCTTCAATTACGGGCAGATTTATTCAGGAAAGTCCTACAGTAGTGTGCGCATGCCCTCCTTAGTGCAAGGACAGCATAGATGGAGCTCTGATGGAGAACACTGCTGGTGGACATTCTAATGAATATCGTAGTCGTTATTAATAATACAGTAATCAGCAGCCTGGACCTTTTTTATAAAAAAAAAAGCAGGTGCATCCGTTTTGAGATCAAATACTATTGGAGACGACGACAGCAAACATGACGTCAAGGAGGAAGAGAGACAGACGGACAGAACTGAGGATGAAAAGAGCAGAACTGAGAGACAAAGTTGGGCGGCCATGCGCAGATGCAAGCAAGCAGACTGAGATGGCGATCGGGGAGACGCGGAAGCTCACCCGGTCCCGGAGAGAGAGGCACGTCGCTCCTCTCCACAATCGCTGACGGGTTCCGCTCACAACTGTTGTCTGGGGTGAGGCCGTGGGACGAGAGGGGTAGGGTTACATCTCATCTGGTTGCCAGGAAGACAAGCGGCAACGTCCCACTTGCGCAAATTAGGAGATTTGGGCCGTTGATCTTTGCTATCTACGGTCAGTATGTCTTAATTCGTGCACGTGGGACCTACCGGTAGCCCCAGGACCAGGCCGTGTTGGATGGTGTGGTCCCGGTTTGTAACGTGAGTGATAAAAGGGCGGCCTTCACAATAAGAAGGGGCAGGCGGAATTTGGGGCTCGTAAGACACATGCTCCAATTTAGCAAAACCACTGAACAGGGTTGAAAAAGCTCTAGGCACAGAACGGCCAACTCATAGGCCACTGTCCTGAAGAGTCAGACCCTGCAACAAAGGAACGCTACAAGCCCACAAAGCCTCACAATCCAAAACGGTACAAAAATCATCAAGCCTAAAAAACTTCGAAGAACAAACCACAAAACTCCCCCAACCCACTATCCTATCTACTGGCTACCCAAACAACATTTCGCTACCTAAACGGTGCTGCCTAACACGGCAGTTCCGGACCCCCAAACAGGGAACAATAAGCAACAAGCCTAAAAAGCCTCAAAAAACAAACCCCAGAACTCCGCCAACCTACTATCCTATCTACTAGCTACCCTAACTACACTTCCCTACCTAAACGGGTGCTGCCTAACACGGCAGTCAACCTACTATCCTATCTACTAGCTACCCTAACTACACTTCCCTACCTAAACGGGTGCTGCCTAACACGGCAGTTCGGACCCCCGGACCGGACAAGATTCAGTCACAACTCCCTCCGCGTTTCTCCCGACTGCCTTCCTCCTGCGGATGGAAGAACCGAGTGTGCAGGTTCAGGATCTGTTGCCTGATCTTCCCAAAACCAGTTGTTCAGGGTCAGCTTCCCATTCTCAGAACTCGTAAGCTTTCCCCCTACTCCCCATGTAGCCCTGAACCAATTTGACCAAACCTCCCCCCCTTTCCTTCTCCAATCCGCCTGGACAATTCGTCTTAATGAGGAACGAGACATATGTCTCAATTCCTTATTCGTCATTTCTCTTCCCTCAAAAATTGACGAGTTCATATTCTTCCAAATCACCGCACAGCAGACCGCCCTTACGACCTGGGCTCTATATCCTATTCCCTTACTGGTATACAGGGTGTTCGGAATACCGCCAAAGGGGGGCCATTCTCTATCCCAACTAAGTCCTGGGCCCAGCAGTATTTCCCATTGCTTAGCCCACCAATCCCATATCGGCTTAGAGGCAGGGCAGTCATACCACAGATGAGGAGTAGATTCGTAGGCCCAGTTACATCTTCTGCAAGTCAGGTCTATCTTCATTCCCGTCTGTGCAAGATTAACCGCTGATGGGGTGGACAAGAGGGACATTAGCCATAAGTTAACTGCCAACCTAGGACAGGGAGACTCCGCCAGTTGTTTCCAGCAGCGTGATAGCTGATGCTCGATTACTTGTGGGTGAAGACTTGAGTCCACCGAATCACTGCTACCGACATTGGAGTTTTACCCGGAGTCTGAGCTTGATATCCCAGGTCTACTGAATATGATATCAGTGGCAAGTCTTTTCCTCCTTGTCCTTTTCCTTTCCACCCACACATCTTTGGGTCCAGATTTAAGTCCTTCAATGGCTTACCTTGAGTGTGCACTTGACATGTCGAGATTCCTTTTTCGTCACATTGTTCCCAGACTCTGACTTGAGACAGTTGAAAGCCCCAGGGGGGTTGGGAAGATGAATCCAATTCAATCAGATTCGAAGGGCACTGCACATTCGTACCTACCCACTTCTGGAATTCTCTTCTGCCTACACTGTCGATACTTGAGAGTTTCTAAAATGTAGGGGTCAGGTCCGGACTTTTGGAAATGTACCAAGTACCCGGGGGGTCAATGCCGTCAGGGTTCAACAGAACCTTCCACTCCAGTGGGAGGGAGACAAGAATCTCTGAGAAACGTTCCTCCACAAACCAGCAGGATCCTAAAGGTTCCCGCAAGGCCGCTGCGGAGAGCCATTGCCCTTCCAAATCATTCCACAGGTCAACAAGTCTGAGGACCCCATGTTCAATCCAACTACGCCCAAAGTTGTTGCGGGTTAAATCCGCCCCAAACCAGGAACCGTCTGCTTTCCTGATATGAGGATTCTCAATAATGGGCTGCAGCAGGACTTATGTCCCGTGACAAGAGGGAGCCAAGAGTCAGGTTTCAACCACTTCCATGCAAACATGACTACTTTCCAGAAGTCAGAATTAATGTTTCTATTCTGATATGATGACCACAGGAAGCAGGTCCATACGTCTGCAGGGCGAGGCATATTTCATTCATTAGCTATAATGGTTTCTGCAAAGACGATCCAATGGGGTCATTGTGGTGCACTTATGACTTTAATGAGCCAACGAGCAAGCATAGTCATACTTCTGCGTTGAGGGTCATTCATACCTAAGCCTCCTTCTGACTTTGCAAAAGTTAACAAGTCTCAAGCTACCTTTGATATGAATGCCCCCTGATCGGTCGCGTATGGCTTCCAGACAAACTTAGCTGCCCGACGTCTGATCAGAGTACACAGATGTTTGCCTAAAGGTCTTACAACAGCCACAAACCACAACAGAGCAAACAGGGCGCCGTTAATTACCATCACTCGCTCATACATAGATAAATGGGGAGTTTTTCCCCACAGGGTGATTCTTTGTACCACCTTCTGGAGGAGAATTCCCTGTTGGTCGATTGAGCATGACAACAGAAATACTTGAACCCCAAGGAATCTTTCTGACGTATCTGCTTCAATGCGTTTCATTCCCCAGTTAACACATGGGGTAAATTGACTGGGGAGAAAAAAAAACGACTTAGCCTAATTAACCGAGGCTTCTGACAACTCCGAATACTCATCTAGACAAGATTTAAGAGCTTGTAACGAGCGAGTTGTATTTTGTGAGATCGAGAACAGATCGTCAGCCAGGGCCATAACTTTACAGTGAGCAGAGTCAACCTTTAATCCTTCTATATCTGTGTGAGCCCTGATGTTGCAGAGGAGGTTTTCCATCTGAAGTACGAAGAGCAAAGGAGCGAGTGGGCGTCCCTGTCTTAAGGAACGAGTAAGAGCGAACTGTTGAGAGCAGTTGCCATTTACCATGACGACAACAATCAATTGAGAATATAAAGCTACTACCCATCTGCATAGGTTATCCCCAAAACCGAGATGGCGCAGGGTGGTCAGGACATATGTCCAGTTGACCCTATCATACGCCTTTTCAAGATCCAACATAAGGACAGACATGTCCAATGCCTTGGTTTGAACCAATTCCAATGCTTCAATTGCGGTGACGATATTGTCGAATATTGACCGGTTCTGTACAAAGGCGGTTTGGTCAGAACCCACCAAAGTGGGTAAATACCTTCCCAGTTTTCTAGCAAGAATTTTAGTCAAAAGTTTATATGAGAGATTACGTACCGAGATCAGACGCCAGTTCCGAATCTCATACTTATCTCCTTTCTTGTATAGACGAGAAATAATACCGTTACACATGCCTTTTGATAGGCAATCTCCTGTTAACACATTGTTGTATATCTCGACTATGACATCTTTAACTGAGTCTCAAATTAGCAGATACACCTCAACTGGGAGGCCAACGTCTCTCGGGGCTTTCTCTTTAGCCATAGCATGTAGCGTTGTGTAGGCTTCTTCCGTCGTGATTGGACGGTCTAGATCCAGTTTACCGTGTGTGGGTAGTCTCGCAGAGAAGGCCACCTAATGAAGCGAGCCTTCCGACAGATCTATGTTAATATATTCCAGAGGACGACGTGTTGTGAGGATATCTTGGTAATACAGAGAGACATATTGACACAGTGAGACTTGCTCTCGAGCCTGCGACAGGGAATGGTTAAAAGGGTGGGACAGTTCACACATCTGCAGGGAAAGCCTTTTTTGGCAGAAGCCGTTGGGAGGACTCTCACGTCATATGATCGTAGACAACTATCCCTTTCACTTTAAGGCGTTCCGCACAGACGTCTGACTGGGATTGTTGAAGCGAATCCCATTCTGCCATCAGGCGGACCCTGATTGGGCCCCATAACATATTGGAGATGGGATGGGCGTTCATTCGGTTCTCGGCGTACTGAATTTTCCTAATTAAGATGAGCTTCTGTTTTTTACGACCTGCTGCTAAGATACGAGAGAAAATGCTGAGATGTTTTCATAGGATACGAGATCCCGCGTCCTACCATTTAGCTTTAGACTCAAAGAACTCGACATTTGCATTCCAATCATCCCAAAAGCGTGTCATCCAGTCAACAGTCCCTGACTCTTTCAGAATCTGCGTATTTAGCCTGAAATAGCTCTGGCCCTTTGAAGGTTTCATCGAATTGAAAGTGACCATAACCGGCTTGTGGTCTGACATGGGGTGAAAGGATTCTTCAACTTTAACTATAACATTCCAAGATTCCACAGAGGTTAGGAAAAAATCCAAACATTTGTGGATAACGCCTATACCTTCTCGTTTGTTTGAGAACCATGTGCATCCGGGGGAATCCGGGTGCATGAGCCGATAAGGTTCCACAAGGTCGAGCTCCGACATCAAGTCTAACAATTCCTTTATGTTTGAACGAACTCTCACTTCCCTCTGGTTATCCAATGACGTATTACAGTCCCCTGCTATAACCAGGTTCTCACAACTTCGAATCAGAGAGGGAAGTCATAAAACATTCGTTTGCGATCAAAGCAGTCAACCGGAGCATACACTGTAGCCACAATCCATTCCTGGGTTTCAATGCATAATTTTACCCATGCCCATCTACCCCATAAATCCACACAATAATCGATAATGTCAAGGTTTGAACTCTTATGAAGGAGGATTGTCACCCCCCTCCTCGATCCCATAGCTAGGGACCATATCTGAGGTCCATACGGATTGACGGTGGCAGCATGAACTGACCTGCGACTGAAAACTTATCTGCGAGAGGAGTGGCGGGAGACGGTCTCTACAACGGTC